GCGTTTATCTTTATATTATATCTTTACAAAATTGTTATATAAGTCATTTTATGATTTTATTCTATAAACGTTTACATAATATAATAATAAATCAGTTTTACAGTCGGAAATAAAACTGTCATCTGTGCAACTTTAATATAACAAATCAGATTTTCAAGCGTTGAATATATAAACAATAAAATTATTTTATAACTCTAAATTTATAACAAAAGTCGTAATAGATCTTTTTAATTGCCAATAACTCATTGTGATAACACAATGAGGATTCTTCTATATTATAAATTTAAGTGTTAATTACCTTTCTTTCCGAAATGAATATACAAGCCATTGTTTAATAAAATTATTAACCTGCATTTAATAAAAAGTTATCATAAATGATAACCCCGGTTATTAATTGCTTTGATCGTCATTTACATAATCGAAAATAATTAAGCATAATTAATGTAAAATGGATGGATTTATGTTTCACATCCTATATTTTGCGATGAAAAGGAAAGTAATTGCAAACAAATTTTTACCATCTTAAAATTAATCACTAGCTATTAATATAAATAACCTCACAATACTTTCATACTATTTACTTGTTACAATTTGCCGTTTAATTAGTTTATAATGGAAACGTTTTCCTTAGAAATATAATAATAGAGTTGGGTTCCTCTCAAATGGCTTTTACTTACGATTAATTTCATAACAAAAAAGATGAAATAATGCATCTTATAAACATCCTTATTGTTTTCTGGTGGTAATATGAACATTTATACTAGTCGCGTTAAAGTAGGTTCTTAAACTACATATATGAGACACCGACGCCGACTACGAAGTAATACACTTTTCGAAGGATAAAATTAAAACGTAGTCGTAACTTTTACGAGTGATACTACCGTCGCGCCAAGTTTTAGAAAAGACTTTCGCCTTGGGAGTTTCGACCCGAAATGCTTCCTAAACAGTTAAAATGCAATATCCGATAATAAGCAACTTTTATATAAGGACAATATAGGCGAAGCCGCTTCTCTTATTTATAAAGTGGATGGCGCTCGACTGTAAATATGTACGACGACTGGCACGCTATTAAATGTAAAGAAGTATACTACGGGTAGAGGAGGCACTTTGGCGCGGGACGGCGAACTTTATTCGCGGCCAAGCGCCATTTTTAGTGTGTATAAAACTGAAAATTGAAAACTCGACGCTCCCGACCGAGGAATTATTGGACTGCATATGGGTTTCAAGTATGAATTACGTAGATGGGATGTAGCCTTACTCTCTTTCCCTCTATGTGCCTTAAGTAATATAGTTTTTGCATTTTTTCGTATTCGATGATCGTTGTAGGGAAACCGGTTAGTGGCTGAAAAGGACCTGCATTAGTCCTTTTTCCTTCTTCAAGTGCGTAAGTTCTTAACAATTGTTGTGGACTTGATGTAGTAACCTATTGTTAACTAATGTACCTACTCTTACTTATGTAAGTACAGAAATATCCAAAAAAATCCAACTCGAGTTGTTTCCCAAGTTTTTCTATTCCATGTTCATAAATAATTTCGGGGTATTTCCCTATATATCTAGTAATATCATAATATCTATGAAGTCTGTACGATGTATAAATCAAGGACGGTAGTTCTAATTTTAGTTATTATTCAATGGCAGATTATATTTTTATTGAACTAATGACCATGACCTAAATTCATCTCAGACACTAGCAGTTAGAATGATGCACTTGATTGGTTTTCCACAGTTTCACAAATTTGAAGATGGAGGTGTTCATTAACGCCACAGCCATTATCACCAAATATTTAAATTCAACATAATTATTCAAAATTCTTAACGGTTTTCGTAATTGCAATGCTATTTGAGATAGGTTTCTCTGGATGCAAAGCAGTAAATAATTGACTAAGTTGTGCAAACGTGTTACCATGAGAGATACAGTTTCACTTAAGTTGTGTAATATATTTTCCAGGAATTTTTATAAATGAGTTTTACTTAAAATTTTATATAAGTTATATAAGGTTTTTACTGTGCAACAACAAAAAATAAACAGTATAACCTAACCCTAAAAGAGCAGGCATATGAAGGAGCGAATGTTTTTGTATCAATAGAAGTTGCAGAAATTAAACCCTGTTTCTGAGACAAATCAGCAGACTGTACAGGATTTCTCTAAAGGCAATCTTTGCCTCATACGCTTACCTAAAAGTATTCATATTTTCCTACAATGTATCTTCGTTACATGTTTTTATCATTATAATGATTATAGATAATGCAGGAATTTAAAACACAGAAATTGATGACATTGTATATGACAAACAATTTGTCGGTGATATTTCGGGTTTCTTTTCATTACCACTTGCGCGTCCGCTGTCCCATTGTGATGCGATGTGGAAATAACTATTGCCTTTCTAAGTGTGCTTGAATTAAGTTATAAATAACGCTGCTGTTTGGGTAAATCCCAGAAATTGTTCTATACTATTAATTAACATAACATAACAAACAGTTAACAAACACTGCGACTTATCTGGGTTCAAACAGTTTCATACTTTAAACTTTGTCATTGTCAAAGCTTTTGACACTGTTGGATATGCTTTGCAATAGTTAAAAATAGACTGCGGATGTTTACGTTGAGATCTATCAATCTTAGGCCATGAAATTGCCACTTGCCTGTTTAAATCTAGACAGATTAATCGTGCTACAGGGTAGTATATTATTATTTTCTTGTGAAACAAGTAAAATGTCATATGATGATTTACCACTACACGCATCTTTTGAGTACCAGAATTATGAGGATGCTTTCAGCAAGTTGCGAGAAATCTTAAATATTAATGATTTTGAGTTGAAGGATAACATAGCCTTAATTCTTGCAAATCGGCTGTAATGCTGTTTGGATGTGATAATGTGATAGACCATGTAAGACTGGAGATTGGAGGGGTTCGGTACCTACAAAGCCTCAAAGGTGGCAAAAACCACACGTTTTGGATAAAATGATAGAGGCATTTAGACACTTTTGTGTGTTCTCTATAAAAGACAACTAAAAAAGCTGGAGGCAGGGTTTGTATTACTGTCAAAGCTTTTGACACTGTTGGATATGCTGCGTTGTGTTTAGCTTAGTGATAGTTAGAAATAGACTGCGGTTGTTTATTCGACGTTGAGATCTATCAATTTTAGACCATGAAATTTCCACTTGCCTGTTTAAATCTAGACAGATTAATCGTGCTGTAGGGTAGTATCTTATTATTTTCTTATGAGACAAGCAAAATGTCATGTGATGATTTACCACTACAAGCATCTTTTGAGTACCAGAATTATGAGGATGCTTCCAGCAAGTTGCAAGAAACCTTAAATATTAATGATTTTGAGTTGAAGAATAACATAGCCTTAATCCTTGCAAATCGGCTGTAATGCTGTTTGGATGTGATAATGTGACAGACCATGTACCACTGGAGATTCAAAACCTACAAAGCCTCAAAGGTGGCAGAAAACCACACGTTTTGGATGAAACGATAGAGGAGTTTAGAGAATTTTGTGTTCTCTACAGGGTGATTCAAAAAACCGCTGACAGACTTCTAGAGTAGATAAATTAAGATGAATAGTCTTAATATACATGGGGTCGCAAATGCGTCGTTGGCGAGATATAGTGGATCAAAGTTTCTTTAAAATTAAACATTATCTGCAATAAAAAGCACTTTTTTAAAAATATTGTCTACGCCATTGCTTTCTACTCGTGTAAAGTGATCAATTATCTATCAATTGGTCTCTTACAAAACGTTGATCAAAGCAAGAGTTTTTAAGAAAAACACGTTTGTAGAAAATTTGTTAATTCAATCAAAAACTGTTCCTTTAATCAAAGTTTTGTAAGAGACCAATTGATAGATAATTGATCACTTTACACGAAAATACTGCGTTTGATAAAATTAGCAGTGGAGTTGAAAATATTTTTAAAAAAGGGCTTTTTATTGGAGGCATTGTTATTAAGACAGTTTGTATATTAAGACTTTTCATCTTAATTTTTGATGTATTACCTGCCCTAGAAGTTTGTCAGCGATTTTTTTGAATCACCTGTATAAAAGTCAACTAAAAAGCTAGAGATGGGGTTTGTATCCACAACAAACGTTTTAAAAATTTTATGACACATGGTGCAAGGTTTACTACCGAACGAATTTTTGTATCAATATGTAGGAGTCGACGAAGGAAGAAGAATTTGTTTGAATCTAAACGAAAATATCCCTAATGATTGAATTGGATGATATAATCAATTCGATTTGGTACAGTTTTCCTGCTGTTCCAGTTCATCCAATTTTTCTGTATGCGATTTCTTTTAAGATCAAGGATGTTTTACGAACCACTAACACCAAGAACTTCACATGAACTTCGATAACTTATTACTATAGCGTGTATTACAACATCCATCGAGATAAACTGCTTCGTGTATAGGTGAAGAGTTCACATCGAGTGTTTATTGTAATGATCTGTTCAAAAATTTGAACACTTACATTTTTAGTGTAACGTCATTTAATATACCTAACTACAATACTTCTTGAATTATAAAAAGTCTGAAATGAAGTAATGCTATCTTTTAAGTAATTAATGGTAATATTAGAGTAGCTATTTATTTTTATTCTTCCTCAAGTGGAATCCCGTCGATTGAAACAGATAAATCGAATGCCCGCCTGAGGTACTTCTCGTTCCGTTTTGTATAACCTCCCGCCTCGACTACTCGCGGCGTTAAATAATATAATCCTGGATATCTCAGCGGGATTTTATGGCTTCGCACGTTCTCCTCGTAGCAAGTTCAATCTGGACGCGGTACGATGACAGATGCGGCCCGATATTAATATCGATTGAACGAGAAAGAAGCTAATTGTTTCGCGAGGGAATTGTTTTGCCTCAGGAATAATTTTGAGTTAGTTGCAACATTACCATTGCGATTGTAAATTAGAAAATATAGCAATTTATTAAGATTTTCGAAATGGCAATTAAATTTATTATGAGTGTATAAAGTATTCGTTTCTTTGTTTTAGGAATCGTACCTGTCAGCCATTATTCTTTGGAATAACGTAAGGGGAAAGAGGCCGTAAATACGAGGTAAAGCAAACATTACAGTTTAAACATTAAGAGCTTTGGTTGTACGCGGCGCGGTTCTCACCGCATTTATTTTCGAGTTGTAAAAGATTTCCCACTTTGCATATTATAGCGCTGAGCAAATATAGTAAACGCGTTAATCTTCCATTCTGTTGTACGTACGTACGGACCATTTTATGTTTCCGCGCCCGCGGAATTTATGGCAGCCTACTGTTGCGCATATCAAATTCGATCGGCACGTTTTAAAACAAACGGAGAAAGAGAAACCTTTGTGCGTTTTTTAAACCGACTTCCGACTACCGTTAAAACTTACTATACTTACCGTATCAATTAACACTTTGTTCTTTTAAACAAATTGATTTAGAAATTTAGGTTTTTTTTGTTTAAATTTTTCTAATGAGATTAGTAGGTAATTGTGTAATAAGTGAAGAAAGTGAACAGTTGGGTAGGAATCGCAAAATCATTGTGAAATCAGTGTAAGGACACTTTCGGTGAACCGACGTCGGGTTGAGTCGAGGGGCAGGAGTGGGTCGACGGGGGGTTGCGCCTGTTGCGAGGATTTCGTTCTCGGGCCGACGCTGCTGCCGCCGGGGGCGTCCGCCTGTTCGCCCGTAAACCGCACATTTACACAGTTCTTGACTCGCAATTTTATTGTTAACATTTTGCGGGCTCACTCGTCCCTTTTCGCTTTTCCTATCTAGCTCGTTCGTCCACAATAATACCATTAAAAGCTTGGTCACCTCGTTCTTTACTGTAATCATAACGGGGTGGTTTCGACGCCTCACTTATACATAAATTTAATTACCCACTCGTCAAATTAACAATTCGGAATATTAAACTAATACAATACTATAACATTAAAACAAGTTAACTCATGAACTATTATACTCTATTTTTTTAATTCGGAGGAGTGTTTTCAAATTTAAGCGCCAAAAAGATGAGTTGCTATTGGTCAGTTTTAAGCAAACGTTACACTAGGAAAATTCGAGATGTTGCCGGCCACCTAGAAACATTCGGGTTTAGCCGCACGAATCTCAGTATGCCTAAACTCGAAACTTTCTAGTTATAGGTCTAGTGCTAGTTCTAGTTTTAGTTCAATAAAAATATACAACACAATAGAACTAACTAATAGAACACTAGAACTAACACTAGACCAAGGACTAGAAACATTCGGGTTTAGCCTGTAAGGTATGACTAATACTAATGTTGCTATTAATATTAAGTAGGTTAGGAGTAATAAGGTTATTTAATAAGGTTAGTACGACATCTGGTAAAGGTGATCAATTAATAATTAAAGACTGCATCGTTGTCTTAACTTCTATTTGACTTCTTTCAACTATATCTCTTACAATTAATTACACTATATTTATACTAGACTTACTGCTAACGTAGCACAACAAACCTTGTTATGTTTGTCGTACTAACCTTATTAAATAACCTTATTACTCCTAACCTACTTAATATTAATAGCAACATTACTATTAGTCATACCTTACAAGCCGCACATCTCTCAAGACGGCTAAACCCGAATGATTCTAGTTCTAGGTCTTGTGTTAGTTCTAGTTTTAGTTCAATAAAAATATACAACATAGTAATATCTTATGCTAAAATATTATAATAACTAGAACTAACACAAGACCTAGAACTAGAATCATTCAGGTTTAGCCGTCTTAAGAGACGTGCGGCTAAACCCGAATAATTCTAGTTCTAGGTCTAGTGTTAGTTCTAGTGACAGTGGTAGGTAGCACTAGTTAGCATAAGATATTGCTATGTTGAATATTTTTATTGAACAAAAATTAGAACTAATTATTACATACAGGATGAGTCGGCAGGAACTGACTAAACTTTAGGAGTGAGTAGTTTAGTAAAAGCTCATATGTTGTTATCCGATAACTGCAATTAAACAAAACCTTATACATTAAGATTCAATATTGATCATCAGCGTTATTTTAACAATTGTTCGAAAATATCGCCATTAACTTCTAAACATTTCCGGCTTCGTTTACTAAGAGCACTTGTTGCTTTTCTAATTGCTCCATGATTTTCTTTAATATTAACTGCAACATTTAGAATCCGCCTAAGAAGTACATCCCTAGTGTCCACTTTGATTTTGTATACTTCATTTTTGAACCAGCCCCACAAACCATAACCAAGTGCTGTGAGGTCTGAAGATCTTGGAGGCCAACTAATAGGACTACCACGACCAATCTAACGCCCTGGAAACCTTTCGTCCAAATGTTGCTTGACCTGACGAAATGCGCCGGAGCTCCATCGTGTTGAAAGTAAATTTGCCTTCTAATCTTTAGAGGAACATCCTGCAGTAAATCATTTAATTCATTTTGTAAAAACTCTAGGTAGTGGTTTCTTGTGAGGTGATTCTCCAAAATGAAAGGGCTAATTAAATAACCGTTGATCATACTACACCACACATTTACCGAAAACTTGTGTTGAAAGTTGTTTTCGATTGTTGCATGGGGATTTTCATCGGACCATACGTGACTATTACGAGTATTATGTAGGCCGTCACGGGTAAATGTTGCTTCATCCGTGAAAAGAATATGCGATACAACACGATGATCATTATTTATCCACCGACAAAATTCGACTCGTTCAACATAATCTTCCGACAGTAGATGTTGTACCTTACCTAAATGGTATGGATATAAGCATTGCTCGTGGAGTGTGTTTATTACTCTCTTTTGTGGAATGTCTAATTGAACAGCAATTCTTCGTGAGCTAGTCGTTGCATCTTTATCTACTAGATCCAAAATATTTTCTACTTAATTTAAACATTGACGCGTAGCTCGTTCAGATGTTATTTTAACGCTGGGAAGTGTACCGGTTTCGCGCAGTTTATTGAAAACCCTAATAAAAACGTTTTTATGAGGATGGCTGCGATTTGGAAACCGTTGACGATAGTCATCTGCAGCAGCTGTAGCACTCCCGTTACAAAAACCATATACAACTAACATATCTGTATGTTCTAAATGTGAATAAGTACTTGGCATTTTGTACCACTTAATACAAATCAAAATGTCAAATCTACGTTAAATGTTTAACTGTAGTTAAATAATAATAGTAAGAAAACCACTGACATTTAAACGCCAAAAATATTTATGACAAAAATTGCAAAGCCTACTAAGATTTTTTCATTAAAAATTCATTCCAACTTTCGATTAACAACCCTACAGCTTAACAGTTAGTGTTTGTTTAATTATTTTTTTTCTCAGAAATTATTAAGTTTTAGAAGAACATCAGAGAGACAAAAAAGTTTTAGAATAGTTTTATCTATCTAACTGAAATTTTTCCAATGTATTTACCATTTTCATTAAAAAAATCTAGGCATAAATTGAACGGGGGTGGTTACGTTTAGTAGTTTAGAAGGGTAGGTTGAAAGTACAAATAGGGTCAAAACGTGCCCTATTATGAGTTAATCATATTCCCCAAATTTCATTTTCGTAGCGTTTATGGTTTTTGAGAAAAAAAAATAAACCAAAATTTTCCGCCATTTTTCGAGGGGTTTAGCTCGTTAGGGGAGCCGAAGTCACCCATGGTTCATATATCAAAGTACCCTTAAAATTCACTAAAGAATCACCCCTTGAAGTTTGTTGCAGTCATTCAGATACACCCTGTATATAATAATAGAACATCCTGTATATTTTGTCATATTATGAATAGAATTAAATTTGTTTATACAACCGTATATGTTACTATCTCATAGCGTTCATAGTTCCTGAGATATTCAATTATTTTTCCAAAATGTGTCCATAGCAGGATCTTTTTAAAAACAATGTAAAAACGACATTTTTTCCAATTTTCCCTTGAAACTATGTCAGATAATAGTCAAAGCCAGTAGGTAAATGATAGTATCCAAAGATATTAGATACGCTATACAGCGTGTTCATTAAGCTTAGTTACTTTTGATGTTTTTCAAATGGCTTTTTCATAAGTTCTTTAAATGGAACACGCTGTATATTGTGTGCAGGTTGAATTGCCCATCAAGTTACCTTTAATTAATGATAAGTATGTCATATATCTAACTTTAGTAGTTTTCCTGATATTTAGAATTTAAAGAATAATGTGTAATAGAATATGCGTTATTGTACTTAATATTACATTCTATGTTTATCAGTTTTTTTTGTACTTCCTTTTATTATTTGATTAATATTTTATAGTGTAAAATAATTTTGCTGCCATGTACCAGATTTTAATGCGACTTGGTACTTTATGAGATTTTAAAAAGATGTAAGTAATAAAATATGCAATTGTTCTGCTATATAATTTACAACTTTAGAGGAAATAAGATGCACATGTTAAGAGATAATGCTTGTAGAAGAGAAAATGGGCGGCATTTTGAACAACTTCTAAATATTAATTAAATTAATACCTACTTAGTAATTTAGTAATTAAAAAAGGGATTTATTCTTCTGCCATTTAATTGTATTTTTTTGTATTTTTACTGTATTTTTTTTAAATTTTATTTTACAGAAGAACAAAGAAATGACTAAGAACTAAGAAATGACAGACATACAAAAAAGAAAAAAAAAGTGACATTAAGGACATATCAAAAGGAATATCTGTCACTTTTTAAGTACAATAATGACATTTTATTATACGTTTTTCTTTAAATTGTAAATATCAGGAAAACTATTAAAGTTAGATATATGACATACTTACCATTAATTAAAGGGAACTTGATGAGCAATTCAACTAGCACACAATATACAGGATGATCCATTTAAAAAACTTAAGAAAAGGCCATTTGAACATCAAAAGTAACTAAGCTTTATAAACCTGTATAGTGTATCTAATATCTTTGAATAGTAGCTTTCATCTACCTACTAGCTTTGACTATTGTCTGACGTAGTTTCAAGGAACAATCGGAAAAAATGTCGATTTTACATAGTTTTTAAAAAGATCCTATAATGGGCACATTTTGGAAGAACAGTTGAATATCTCAGGAACTATGAACGCTATGAAATAGTAACATATACGGTTGTATA